ACAACTGCTACAAATCACCTGCTGATCCGATTAGTAATCGATATTGTAAAAAGTGTTTAGAGGAAGTGGCTTTTGGCCTAAACTAAGCTGCAACTTGCGCACAACCAAATCCCATTCTTTCTCTATTACCATTTAAACTGATCACTTCACCATTTCTTTCGATGACTTAAACACCGATACTTTTGCAGCAACTGCTCAATCATTTTGGAAGACCTCAGCATCTTCATCATCATCATCATCAACTTTATCACTTCTATTTTAATGTCACCTGCACAATACTGTTTTTTTAATTGAAAACTTAGCAAATCGTTGATCTTTTCCATTTAGCATGCACTCATTATTGGTTTATGCAATTTTGAATGTCTACTCTTGTTTAGGTTCTCTTATGTCGGTTTATCAAGCACAATTTGAATTTGCACTTGATTCTATCTCAATTATTTACACTGATTCATTTTGATGCCTTCTACACACACACACTTTGATATTTTTACTCATTTTCTCTCTTTCTTTCTCTCTCTCTCTTTTCTTTTTCTTTTATTATTTTTTCACTATGCTACTTAATTTGACTAATCAAAACAACACATCTCTTAAGTAACCAGCGTTTTCACTGAACAATCTAACACTTTTTTCAGCTCGTTTTATTCTAATCACACTACTGCCACTACTGCCACTACTACCAAACATATTTCCGTTAGCTAAAAACTTTTAAAGCACTTTTCTAAAATCATGTAACACTTACTTTAAATAAAACAAACTTTTAAAAACTAGTTTTCAAATTGGCGTTTATGTTGTTATTGTTGGTTTTGCATCAGTCAAATTAAACAGTAGTGAAATTGATTGTTAGCATCAAAGCATTGTCAAAACATTTGACAACAGAACTACCATACTAAAAACTAAAAATGAAAATGTGCAATTGCTCTAGAAAAATTGCAATAAATTGACTTACCAAAGTGTGCAGAACAAAATGTGATCAAATTGTTGAATGCAAATCAACTTAAAGTATCATCAATAAGCATAATGGGCGTTACTTGCAATGGTGGTTGTTTGATAAAACGGAGAATAGGATAACTTGAATTTCAAGCAGTTATTTAAAATATGATATGAATCTTTCTACTAAAAAAAAGAAGGTTCAAGATAAACTGGGCACTGAAGAAAGTGTTACTTGCACGTGCTCAGTCATGTTCAGAGAGATTGTGATTTGGTGACTCATTGTTTTACAAATTTATAAACCGTTTTTTCAAACTGCGCACACTCAAAAGGACGACCGTTCACAAAAAGAGTACCCGTTGGTAATTGATTGGTAACTTATTTTGATAAGTAAAAAGGATACTCAATTTAAAACTAGTAAAAAATGTGGCTTTTGTAAGATAACTTTTGAAATCATTTTAATAGTGCATCATCAAGTGGAGCAGTGTTTACAACACACACACACTTAATAGCCAACAAGTGCAATGAAATAAAACAGAAATAACAAGAAATACAAGAATAAATTTAAAAATAGCGCTATAAGAAAAATAGATAACAACAATAAGAACAACAAGAAAGTGTTTTTTAAACACTTTTTCACAGGGTACGCATACATTACTGGGACCGGATTTGACAAAAATTCGGAAGGCTTGCTTAAAACACTGAAGCATAAAAAGGAAAACTAAGGGCATAACATTGATAAATTAACAGTGAAAAGGTAGTTCTGATAATGCTCGGATCATAGCTGTAGAAAAGTGAAAAGTGTAAAGTGATAGATAGAAAAATAATGAAAAAAATTAAAAAAGTATTTAGAAAAAGATAAAATAGAGGAAAAATAATTATCGTTGGCAAGTTTCGCCACATGAATACTAAGGAAAACGCGGCAAGGAACAACGCTGTGACAAAATTGTTTTTGAATGGGAAAAAAAGTATTTGAGTATAGAGAACTTTGTAAGCAGTGATTGGTAGTTTGAATTTGTTTGTTTGTTTGTTTGTTTGTTTGAAGTTTTCTTGATTGGTAGCTTTTGAAGAAAAAAAATAGAAAAGGAACTAACGTTTGTGGTAAGGTAAGGTAACGTGGAGTTTCCATTTCACTCACTAGCAAATGGCTCTTCTCACTTGGTTTTGCCCTTCAGCTGATGATGAGAGAAGATCAGACGATAATGATGATGATACTGATGACGATGATGATGATGATGATGATCAGTCGAGACTATTGCAGAGAAAGTGGTAGATGAAGGTCTGCTCCGGGTTGAGGGTCACCTGGCCGCCTAGGTCAGAGGAGGAGGAAGAAGAAGAAGAGGAAGATGAGGATCCCAAGGAGCCGAGAGAGGTGTTTGAAGTGGAGGTGGCAACTATCAAGCCGCTGCCGCTCTTTTCACCACCTTGATTTCCACCGCCAGCAACTGTAGAACTGGCGACGTAAAAGGCCGATCGCCCGCCGTTTCCTGCCCGTCCCGGGCTAGTTCGCAGCGTGCCCATGCCCGGACTGGTCGTCGTGGTGTAGTGCTCGTGAACGCTAGGTCCGTGCGAGGCGCTCTCCGGTTTCCTCAGGAGGATGCTGCCGAAGATTTTGGCTGTTGTAAGCAAATGTTAAATCCAAAGAAATGGTTAGCAACAAAAAAAATTAAAGACAAATGAAACATCTGCCCCTGATCAACATTTGGAACGATCATTTTTCTTACCGACGACAGTGGCGTTCAGCTTGTTCATCGCCGAGTAGGAGAGCAGCTCCTTGAGGAAGAGTATCAGGTACTCAAAGACGCGTCGGTGAGAGTCGGGCAGGTCGGCGATTACCTAGAGAAACAGAATGGGGAAACAGAATGTGATCAGTTAAAACTGAAAAGATTTAGTATATCAGCTTTTTCAAAGTGCAGTACCAGCTGACAGTTGCTAAAGTTGCTGCGATTGGCGACCACTCGCTCGTAGAAGCGGTAGGGAATGACCGGCTCGGGAAGGGAGTGCAGAAAGAGCAGCAA